AATATTAAGATAAATGTATCTATTTAAGCAAACAACTTTTTTTAAATATCTAAAATAAAAATTTTCTCAGATATTACATAAAAGTAAAAAAACATTTAATAGTTTTGATATGCAACCCCTTGAAGGTGAGAGGACTGAATATTTAAATAGATTTTAATATCTTACTATTTTAATATCAAGTAAAATGAAACTACTTCCGTCAAAATTGTCTTTTCTTTGCATAACAAGTGAATAATGCTCTGCCACTCAATATTAATTTCTTATTAATATTAAATTGTGCAGAAGCTAATCTACCAACTACATATAATTATTAATCATACGTTGTGCTACTAAGAATTTTCTTTTTTAAGATTTTAAAAAAACGTTCTTTGAAAAAAAGGTTATCACTTTTCTCTTTAGTCAATTAAGCGTTATATCAACGAAACCATGTGCAACTTGCTTTTAAATAAAAAATTACTCGTGAAATTTCTTTAACAAACAAAAAAATACTATTTGAAACAATTTTTTTTCGAATATTTAAAAAATAGAGCGTTAGGTGTTTTTGTCCAGATAAATCTTTTTGAGAAACTAAGCAAGTAATAATTAAGGTATAATAGTGATTCATAAAAATTCCACGATAATTCCAAGCTTTTCCAAGGTAAAATTTCTTCCCCAATACTTGCAGGTTTTCCAGGTACGGTGGACACCCTGGGAAACCTTCTTGTGATATTTAAGATGTCGAAGAAAATATTTACATTACATGAAATCGAACAGCTTTGCCAGATTGTGGTTAATCAAATTTGACATTAATCTGAATCAGACGACTTGATCGATTCAATTGAAAAATCAAGCTGACTGGTAAACACAAAGGACAACAATTATATGCTGTAGTTAACGTGTTTTAGTGAACGTGTGCTATTATCGAAGCGTGTGTTAGCAATTGAATGAGTATAAGAATTAATTGAATTGTCTGATGATCTTTGGGATAAATTAATTACCAGTATAGGACTTAAAAAAAAAAAAAATAAATAAACAAATGGTGAAAACAAAAAATTATTATCTGACAGAGTGCAGGTGTGATTATTTTGTGTGGAGGATAAGGTCGGGAAAAAGCAAGAAATGACGACTGGATGGATCACACAACAGTTATGAAGAGTGTGTGGTCCAAACAACCGTCACGTTGACTTGATAATGATGTCATTAGTCATGGCTTCCACGCGCACAACTATCGCAGAGCAAAGAGTTATTTCAAATTGAGAAAATAAAAAAAATAAAAAATCATCCGCCTGTCGCCGTTGGTGATAATACATAGACTTCGTCTCGTTACTTTGATGTTAGGAACTCATAAAAAAAAAAAACATGTATTAATATTAATAATTGGTACAACGCACACGTGTGTTTTTTACGTCCTGCACACGAATCCTGTTTCTCTTGTTTTGTCAAGTTTTTCGTACACTGAGGAAAATTATTATACTGTCGTAATAAAAACTACCATTTGTTTGGAAAAAGTGGGGGTGTACTCGCATGACAAAAAATATAATTGCATGAAATGGTAACTTTTATTGGTCACCTAACAAAAATTACCATTTAATTTGCAAAAATTTTTGGTAAAGCTTTTTTATCCCTAATGTCCCCCAAACAAATGGTGTTTTTTACACGATATCCTTTTCTCGGTATACATTGAATAAGCTACAAGCGTGATGAGGCCAAATGTAACCTCATTGCGTCTTTACACAGCACACATTAAAAATATCTCACGACACGAAACATATCAAACACTAAAGTTATTTGAAATCCGAGATGTATACACTGGTTTGGAGGTCTTTTTCATAAAAATTGCTGATACAACGAGAAAATTGGAACTTCTGCAGGTTAAAGATAAATATAACTTACACTTTTCTCAATCGCACAAATAATGAGTAAAAATTTTTCATCGTTTTCCAATCTCACGCTTTATATGCGCATAATTTTATTTTCATGTTTGGAAATTAAATTAGATAAATAAAGCGCTCAGCCAATACTGAGCAACTCCAAACGTTAGACTCTTTATAAAATTTTAATTTCGGTAAAAAATCATGTAGATACAAGTACAACTATGCATGCAACATCTGACTTTGATAAACAATTTGAGAACAAACCTTTGTTTTACATGAAAAAAAAAAAAAAAAAAAAAAAAAAAAAAAAAAAAAAAAAAAAAAAAAAAAAAAA